GGGGACTTGTTTGGTTAGAGCTGCAAAAGCACTGACTGGGCTTTTTCAGAGAAGTCTGGGGGACCTACCACTCCTTAGTGCAGAAACATCCAAGGAGTGGGCTTTCTGGCTCCCTGCTGCCAGGCAAGAAAGGCAAACCAGAAAAGCAGCAGGACTCCTGTGATGTGCTGGAGAGTTCAGGAGATCTGAATGGCTCAGGAAGGAAATCAGTTTCACAGTGAAACCAGATACCTGTTTCGAATTCTGAGCCACTGTCTAGCAATAGAAGCTGAGGAGGTAGGGGGCAGGGCTGCTGCTGAGAAACTGAGAGGAAGCAGGAGGTTTGGAAACCTTGAGTTATTACTGGCCTAACTTCTGCCAGTAAAAGAATGTAGTATGGTATTTTTTTCCCTATTAACGCTTTCAGGCCCTTACTTGGCCAGGAAAGGCTACTTGTTTATTGAATTTGGTGGTGCATTAGGTAAAAATAAAGTTCACAAGTAAAAATATTAACTTTCTTCTTCCCTACATGGGAAGGGCTCATTGTATTAGTGTTCAGCTCAGTGGTCAAAAAATAATATACCAGAAAGTAAAAACCTAAAGACTTTCTGAAAAATTTCACTTCCTAACCTTATTTTTAAATTTCCATTAGTCACAAGCCCTGTAAACACTCTGTTCTTCACAAGTGCATGTTACAAGGTAAGTGTTCAATGAATGCTTATGAGTGAATGAGTGAATGAGGTATCACTGTATAACCAATGCATGTCCTTTACTAAAAACGGGGCATGGAGCCAACCCTCAGTGCCTTGGGGATTGCTTCTCTATCCCCCTACCATACCTGACCACTGAAGGTTATGTCCACGACCACTTCAATAGGGCCTGGGGTGGGGATAACAAATAAGGAAACACATTCAGGAAAGCTCCCTTCAGTTTGAGTCCTCACAGCCTAGACAACAAGGCCCATGGCACCTGGCAAAGAGGCCCTATCACTGCTCCACATGCCTGGCCAGGCCCTCACTCCCCATCACATAATGCTGCATGATAGCTCGCTGCCAGGGAGCATCTGTTTAGCTGGCATTGACTCCTGTGGGAATAAAGCCAATGAGCTTGGGTGAGGAGAGGAGAAATCAGTCAGGATAGAAAAAAGAAGGCTGGGGAGTGTGGTGCTTTGTTACGTTAAAGACTTAACTGGCCCTTAATTTCTACAGCAAAGCACAGAGGAAGTCAGTGAAAATGTCTGAAAGCCTCCGCTTAGCCTCATGTTGCAAATCCTACCCCATGGAAGGCATGAGGCACTTAGGAGATATGCTGCAGCTGCTCCACATGCCAATCCCCTTCTTCACTCACCCTATGTCCCCTTATGGGAATGACGCCAGACAAAGGCTCTTCCTGTATTTCTCAGGACTGCCAGGCAGATGAATCTCCATGTGGGATTTAAATTTCTCCATGGAGAAAAATTGGTAGGGAAAGTCTCCCAGGTCATATGTTTAAAAGGCTAAGGCTCAGATACTTGACTTCCTGTTGACCGATATTTTAAATCATTCCCAAAACTTTCAGTCCCTCAGGCAATTCCTAGTCCAGCCAGACACGGGTTTGCTCTGCCTGACAAGCAGGATTTCTGCATCACCACAACTTTCCTGAGTTTTATACTCTGGACATTTATTTATTTTCATTGACCTGTGAGGGCACAGACCCAATGTTTTTTGACTTCTATTTCCAGAGGCTGGCATGGGGCCTGGTAAACACAACTGTTCAGTGAATGTCTGTTGAATGAGTACTTGCATGCCTGTTTTCCAGATTAGCAGGAAAAAATGTCTGGTTTCAGTAAGCAGGTAAGTTGGTAAATACATGGTACTTTTCATGATATCATGAAGTAGAAGATATCTATAATGCCCCTCAAACACTACTTCTTTTACGGCACTTATCACCTTAAGCATCCTATTATGGTTTTTTTAGTACACTGATAAATCTCTCCTTATAAATTTCTTGGAAGCAGGAACTAGGTATTCTTCGATTATTTTATCCATCCCCTCATCCAATAAATGAACTAAATAAATGAATGAATGCTTACTGGCTGAACTATGTTATGGTCTTCAGTCTACCAAAACCTTCCAACACAAGCACCAAAATACTTTTTAAAGAAAGTCTGGTCCCCAGAAAAACACTTGCAAAAATTCATGTTGGCACATTAACTAAAGACAATGTTCATATGACATCAATACTAAGTGGCTGAGAAAACAAATGTGAACTATAGAAAGGCCAGGCCCAAAACATAAGAGAAAGGGGATGACAGCCAGCGTGGACTACAGAATGTGGCAGATTCCAAAACTTGTGGAAAATTCATAAAGCAGATTAACCATGTCAATAAAAGGGGTTACACTGAAAGCACTGACACAGATCAATTCTGTGAACAATGTGTCTGTATGTTGAGACCAGGGCTTTATTCAGGGAACATGACAGAAGAAAATTCTGTCACGTACAGTTATGCATAGTGGCATATGATTGAGAACAGAACCAACGGTGGGTAGAGGGAAGCCCTGATTCATAGGGCGGGGTTTCTCTCTGCTGCATGGTTCCCTAATAATTAATCAATTAGGGCCATAGCTTTATTTCCTGTGGCAGTTTTCTCTGTCATAGAGAATGAGGTCACAGCCCTAACTACACAGACCTTAAAGGCATGCAGGTGATGAATAGCTTCAGATATGCTTGGAGCAATCCCCAGAGATGACTGGGTTTATGGAGGATTCTTCGCCTCAGTAAGAAGAGCTTCTTAGAGGAGTTGAAGTATATTCTGACTCTGGCTTTTAAGTCCCTATCTACATCCTTATCACATGACTCTAACAAAAGAGATTGAATATTACTGAATCTATTGCGCAACCCTAGAGGCTGGAATAGGTCAATCGGGGCCCCATCAATTCTGAAATAATTAATCACAGCATTATTCAGTAGCATTAAATGTATGATACAGTGTATGAAAACAATTCTTTGATTTATTATGTATATAAATGAATTACTTAAACTTTAAGGGACCTTTGAGATTTAACATATTACTATTATTTAGATTATGTCAATTTCTCAGAGAAACCAAAAGTACTTATTGGCTGTCAGAATTCAAATTCACTAAAAGAAGGGAATGGATTATACATTAGCCAGTAAGAGAGGTGGAGGGAAGTTACAGGATGGGTAGAAAAATCAAATGTGAGAAAGAAAAAAGAACCACTAATGTGTTATTCTAGAGATGAAATAATTATAGAGTTGTGTCTATTGTTTTTTATGAAGACTCCCTGACCACCAAAAAAGAACACTCTCCCTTTCCCTTGTGTTTTATAAGAATTGGAGGTCAGAGAATATTTATGGACACACTAAAGCATTCAAAAGACCACCAAGCCTCTTGGCTCTTCAGTGGAAAGGTCTGGAAGTGAAAATGAGCAGAAGGCAAAGAGTAGGACTGACTCTGCTGGTTTTCTCCTCCCGATGACACAGTAGGACCAGATACCTGGCAACTGAGTTCAAAAAAGGGGAGGCCAGAAGAAGACCTAAGAGGCTTCTGCAATAATTGGTGGTTAAGTCAGACACGTGAAGCTTGAGACCAAGGGAGACCCAAAGGCAGAGGAAAAAGGAACCAGTAATACTAGAAGCACTCGAAGAGGTGGCTTTCTGGCTCTTTGCTAACAATCCCCTTATATGTGTTCAGAGGACTGATGCACAGATGAGGATCCCCGCAGTGCAGGCAGGATGCAAACCCTGCCCTTCAATAAAGGCTGCGACACCCCTCAGCCAAAGGAAAATTCCGACTCAGTAGGTTAAGTTGGGATAGCATCTCTGTAGTTTTCCTCTATGGGGAACAAGGCTGGGGCACAGAGGCCAGGACTGTTGGAGGCTCTGGGACAGGTCGGGCAGCAGAACTTCTTAATTAGAAACAGGAATTAAGAGCCTGCACTACAGCTGTAGAAGGAAAACCTTACAAATTCATGAGAATTGTTGGGTCTGGGGAAAAGGCAAGACTGGAGGGGTGGCCAAGGCACTCAGTCTTGCCTACAATGTTCATATTTAAGAAAAGAATGTACTCATATGGTCGTTGTTTAACTAAAACCTGTTGTTGTTTTTTTAAAATCTTCAATTTAAGAGAGGAAAGAGAGGGAGAGGAGGAAAGAAAAGGAGGAAGAAAGACACAACTAACAGTCTGGGTCTCCTTGTAGGTGTCTCCCTAGATCTTGGGACAAGGCGACCCAAAGGGGTGGGGCTCAGAAGCAGTGAAAGGCATGGAGCAAATCGCAACAGGGAAAGAATCCTAAGTCAGAATTTCCTGAGTCACACGGGAAGGCAATGGAATATGTAACAGAATTTTGAAAGAAAACCGTGAAGAGAAAAAGACCCTGTCCCCCATGCTGCCTGCCAGGTTGGAGCCCCAGTTCCCCACTCTCAAACAGAGGGAGCAAATGCTGGCTCCCCAAAATTGGGCCCAGAAACCCAAGCCTTCTCTTTCTTCTTAGGTGCTCTCTGCCAATCATGCCCTTTGGTTGTGGAGAAATCTATTGCTCTGGATTTAGTAAAAGATATCAACATGAAGAGGGCACTGCACATGGACCAACTATCCACCCTGCCCGCTCACAAACTTTCTACCAATGCAATGCCACCCCACCCTTCCCTCGGCTTATCTGTTAGCTCCTGAAATGACCACTTTTCCCATCTATTCAGGAATTTCCTTGGGGAGAATCCCCCGGGTAGAGTAGAGACAACCTCTTCTGGAAGGAGAAAACCTCTAAATTTATGGTCCTGTCTTCTGGGCTCAGGTGAGCTGACAGAGAAGGTCCATGCCCACTTAGCTGGTGGTAGGCAGCCCTTTTGATTTCCCCCACTCCACCCGTCCCTCCGAAGGGAACGCACCACAGAAGCCCCCTTAGAGCTCTGCAGGCGAATTGTTCTAGCAATCGGGAGGATGCGGGCAGAAGAGGACCCCTTCCAGGGGTTAGGCGGGAAGCGTTGGGGGAGGGGAACTGGAGAGTGGGAGGAGCAGTTACCTCGTTGAAGCCCTCCTGCAGGACGTCCAGCAAGTTCCCCCGGGTAAGGCACGCTAGCATTGTTCCTGCCTGAGGCTCCCAGGCGGGGTCTCCAGGCCAGGCTGCCGCGCCTCCTCCTCCCACTGCACACAAAGGCTCGCGATTCAGCGCATTGGGATTTCTCCAGAGTCCCCCAAGCCACTTAGTGGAAATCCAGACTTGAGCCCAACTAGCGGCTTCCACTGGGCATGCTCCTACGGAGGCCTCTGCAGAAGGGGCGGGGGCGCTGCCGTGGTTCCTATAGAAACAGCTGGGTGCGCACTGGCTGGACCTGCACTCCCGGGCTGACTCGGCCCTGGCCTGCGGGAGGGACAGCAGTGCAGGGGGCGCGCGCGCGCTGCACACACATGCACATGCGCTGCACACAACGTTGTCAAACAGGCGCGCCGGCCGGCGTGTGTATACGCTTGCAGTCACACACGCACATACCAGGTCTGCAGACAGGCATGTTTGAGTGAACGCGCGCTGCACGCACACACACGCGCGCACAAGATCTGCTGATTGAGGGCCTCAAGTACCCACTGCATGGTGTGGGTGGGAAGATGAGTGCATCATAGGATTACCCTACCACCACTAGCGGAAAACAGCAACCTTTTTCCACATGCGGCATGGACAGTGAGGTTAGGCTAAAGAAGGGGAAGCAAAAGGGAGAGAAAAAGAAGAACGATTCAGGAGATTTAAAAAATAGAGAAAACTTTAGTTATTGATGGTATTAGGACATATTTAATAGAAATAGAGCTAAGCAAATCACACGGGATCACAACAGAAACATCAAGGGTAGACCAAGGATGACCAAGATTTTAACAACAACAACAAAAGCCCTTTCTTTCTTTTTAGGATAACTTCTAAAATGTAAAACAGACTCATAGATAGAGAGCAACCTAACAGCTCTGGGGGAGTTAGGGGATGGAGACATTGAGCAAAAAGGAAGAAGGACTCATGGACATGGACAACTGTGGTGATGGGGGTGGGGGGAGTGAGGGGAGAGTATGCAATAAAATACAGTAAAAAATAAAATAAAATGTAAAGCCCATACTTTTTAATGAGTTTTAAATTAATTAAATGGTTTTTAATTAAAAACCACAAAAATGTCCTGGTGCTTTTCAAAGTTAGGTTAAGTTTGCTCAAGTGAAACAGAGCTATTCCCTCTGTTTCTAGTTATACGAGTCACAGCCTTACTTATTTTTAAGAACAGTAGTCATTTGTACTCTCAGTGCACACTCCTGTTTCTATAGGAAAACTGGAAGCTAAAAGAACACCCATACGTATTATGTTACACCTCGTGATCCCAGATGGAAGGGAAGGGTTTTAGCGTTAAGGCTCAGAAAAGGTCAGGGCCTTGTCTAAGGACACAGCTGGTCAGTGACAGAGACAGTGTGAGGAGCTAGGACTTGATACTCGTAATTTTGCAGAAGGCCCAGATTCTCTCCCCAAGTACCATTAGTACCTTATCAAGAAAAGTCAGTAAGGGCTCTTAACATCCTGCCTGAATGTTTAAAGCTGCTAAACACAAATATGCTTCTGAGAAGACAGATACCTTCCTTCTGACCACAGCAAGCAGGGAGCAGAAAGCCAGCAGAGGTACTAAGTAGTTGCTGCTGGTTTAATACTGTGGGTTCCATTCTGACTAAGGCTGGGGAAAAACCATGACAACAAACTAAAGTGAATCTGAGCAGCCCAGAAGTCAGCAGACTATCTTTCATAATCTGTCTGGGGAATTTAGTTGCCAAGAACTCCCCTCACCAGAACCACAATCCATATACCCTCAGGTGAGTCACTTACCCATGTTAATGCAACAAGTCCCTTTTAAAAGAGAAGTATGATGCTTCCAACAGCATAAAAATTACATACAATACATCTACATGCATAGAGATATAAAACCCAAACACTCGGTAGTTTCGTAGAGAATTCTTAATGGTTGATGGTCCATCATGCTTTGGACACAGCAGAAGCGAGTGAGACATCAGAGGGAGGCCCTGCTATGATCTATGACAAGAGATCACTGCTTCTCAACTAAATCATTTATCAAAGTAGGACCTATGAGCTCAGTGTTCCTGGGAAAAGACTCATTGATCTCATTTGGCCTAACTCCCTCACTTCACAGGTGGGGGAACAAGGCTAGGAGATTGCTTACAGTCACTCAGCTAGACAACGTGAAAGCCAGGATCTGAAGCAAAGGTCTCTTAAGCCCAGCCCAGTGCTGTTTGCCCTGCACCTCACAGTATGCTGGAGGAATGAGAGGGCAATTTGTGGTGAATTGATAAAAGATTTATTATAGAGCAGATGGTCCAAGATTGGACTATTTCTTGGAAGTCTGTAATAATACAAACCACATATTCTACAGCAGTAGTGTCCAATAGAACTTCCTGCAATGCTGGAAATGTTCTGTATCTGTGCTATCCAATATGGCCCACTAGCCATATGTGGCTATTAAGCACTAAAAATGTGGCTAATGCAAATGTGGATCTAAAATTTAAGTGGCATTTAATTTTTAATTCATTTAAATTTAGATAGTACAGCCCTGAGTGGTGTGGCTCAGTTGGTTGGTATCATCCCACCAAGCAAAAGGTCACTGGTTTGATTCCCAGTCAGGGCACATGTCTGGGTTGCAAGTTTGATCCCTGGTCAGGGCATGCACCAGAGGCAACTGATAAATGTTTCTCTCTCACATCCATGTTTCTCTCTCTCTCTTTCTCCCTTCCTTCTACTCTCTCTAAAAATAAATAAATTTTTTTTAAAAAGTACCTACTGTTTAAAAAAATAAGTACAATTGCAAAATATTCCATTCCATTGTCCCCATACAACTATTAAAATGTTCCAAAAATTATGATATTTTTATATTTAACCAGTTCTCACACTTGGAAAAAGCATAAAATTTCTGTTGGAGCATATAATCTGTTTTTTTTTTTTTTGTACAGATGATATGTTCACCATACTTACCATGGTCTGCCTGACAAGGTGGCCCAGGTGAAGAACTTAGCTTTTACTCTAAGCAGCACTGACATTTACTGTCCCTTCCATCCTTCCCCATCCTACCCTATTGTGATAGCAACATAAAAGCTGGGAGAAAAAGTGGGTTAGCGTCAAGAACTAGGAATAACTAGGACAATAATCTGCATCCCACAGGGCCCGTCCATGGGCAAACAGCAAGACAGTCTCAGTAGCTGGAACACTCCCACTGATGCAGGCCTGTCATTGACTCTGCCTGGGAGAAGAGGCAAAGAGATCAAGCAAAGCTGCTTTCTGCATATCTCCACCATGCTGTCTGACGTCTGATACCAGGCTTCCTCAGCCCTGCGTTATTTTAACAGTGATGGTAGAAACCTCCCTCACCAACTCAACCCAAAAGCTATGCAACCATAATAGAGCAACATTGAGCTTTTGCTATGTGCCAAGCCCTGTGCTAAGTGCTTAGATACATTAGTTCATTTGATGGTCAAAACTACCATAAACAGATTTTATACATTGTCCCATTTTACATATGAAGAAGGAGAGGTTTGGAGGATAAGTAATTTGCCGCAGACCCTATAGCCTCTAAATGCTGAAGCCAACGTCCAGTTTCTTAATCATCATGCAATACTTTTATATGATGCTTACAACAAAGAAGGTATTCAGTAAATGTTATTAGTTGAATGAATGAGTAAATGAATGAATGAGCCCATGGAGGAAACATTAGAAAACTCTTACATCACTTCTATTAATATAGATAATAACATGTTAGCCTAAGTAAGACTTTGAGCCTTAAAAAGAGCTGTCTTTTGGTGAAAATATTACCTCTGACTTCTTCTTGTGTAGAAGTAAGATGTGTAAAATGAACACCTATGTAAAATTTAACATATCTATTATGAGCAATCATTAATGACTATGGAGAAGCAGAGGGCAGTTTGAATAAACAAGCAGAACTTTCAATGGAAATATTTTAAATGACTCTGAAGCAATTTTTTAATCTTCCTTCTGTTTTCTCACATTAACAAGTTCCTTGGCAGTAACATATGTTTAGGATTTCCATTGCATTTGTCTTTAGAGACATCAGCATACATTTATACAAAAGGGCTCATATCTACCAGCAAAGGTCTCAAACATGTTCTAATTCCTAACTTGCTCTCTTTGTCTTCAGGCTTTTCTGCCAGTGTGCACCCCTTAATCTTCCTCAGGCTGTTCAAATGTCTTTAAACACTCCCTCTTCTTAGCATGTCAGATATGAATTCCTTACTCCCAGCTCTCAATGCATATTTATTCTATCTTTACCATCTTCTGCTACACAATGCCTTTGAAGTTTTTTAACTCCATACTGCACTGGAACCAGTTTAGAAGACCCCTAGACTAAGCCACGTGCTTGAATGCTCCTGATACACTCCTTTATTTCTGCCGTATCCACCTTGTCATCCTAAGGTTTCACATCCAGTAAGATGGAAGACTTGGCAACAAGTGCAGGCCTTTTGGCTTTCTTTGACTCACACTGTGCAAGGCGTTCTTCTCTTAGCCTCTTTGCTTCTTTGCTTTGCCCCTCCTCATCAGACCTAAAGAAATCAATGTCATCATTGTCTTTACTACCTGTAGCTCCACTTTGTCTTCCACATTAGCAGGGCCATACTTGCCCAAAGCTTTCTTCACTCCTAGCACGTTCACCTTTTCCTTTCATAAGATTTGATGTGATTATACCAACGTAAGGCACGATGCAAGTCTGCAGGTGGCGGGCCAGAGACCGCTTCAAATACTGCCACCTTTGCTTGTAATGGCACATAACCCTAGATGTAGCTCTTGTCCGCCAGGTAGTCATAGAGCACCTGGAGGCAAGTGGGGCTTTTCAGGTCTCCCAAACCCATGGCGCTGGCGGATCCAGGAGCTGGGCGCCAGCTAACAAAAAAAGGAGGTGCAAGCAGTTGGTGAGAGTGCGAAGAGGGGGAAAGAAGGCTCCCACACTTCTGTTACTCAAATCTTCACTGAGCCTAATTCAAGTTTCACTTCCTTGTGAAAATTCTCTGACCACTCTTGATTTTGTTAAAATCAAGACTGATCTGATCGTAATCTGTCTGAAACACCCATCTCTCAGACAACTCCGGGTTTGTTCCTGCTCAGATGCCACGTCAGCTGTTCGGCCTTCTCTGAGAGCTCTACTTGAAAGGGCAGTGTCCCCTCACCCCAGCACTGCCAAGTCTGACTTATTTTTGTTTTTCTTCCTAGCGTTCATAACCATCCTGTATATTAGATAGTTACTTGTTTATTGTCAGCATCCTCCTGCCCAGAATGTAAAATTCCCCGTAAGGGCAGGGAATTTTATCTGTTTTGTTACTGGTTAATCTCAAGAACCAAGAACAAGAATATGTCCTGATACATAGTAGGCACTCAATAAATATTGACTCAGAAAATGAATAAATCTTCCTTTCTTTGAAATTCAAAGGTCATAGCATGCTCCATACTATATCATTTAGCACTTATAGTTCATTAAGAATGTGAATCTTTTTCTCTTTTACTGTATTTCCAAGACAAATATAAATAATTTCTGATATTCTTCTCCAGTTCCCTCTCTTCAGCAATGTATTCTTTCATTAACCATTCATTAATTATATATGAGCACCTATTATATGCTATTATATGCCAGGTCCTATTCTTTTAGGACCTGGCAAAAACTTCAAAAACTCAGTTATATATAAGTGCATACACATATGCACACACATGCAAGGAACAAGACTAAAAAGAAAGAATAGCAAAGTGAAGACTAGTAAAACTGAGACTCCAATATTAATTATGTGGGGACAGAGTGTACAAAGTGAGTGTGACAGTCTGAGGGGGGAGAAGAAGGAAAAAGAGCCAGAATGGTGAGAGACTAGAATAGGATGTTGCCAAATAATCACCAGATGCTAGTGCTTAATATAAACTGTACCAAAGCAGATAGGCAAATATATTCAACATCAACTTTTAAAATTTACATTTCAAAGTTTCCTATCAGCTATCTTGCAGGTAAAAATTAAATTAAGACAAGCGACACCTGGTGGATATTTTCGAACTGATCTTTGAGTTTCTCTACTAAGAAAACACTGTAAATGCCTGCCCCCATGCCTCTGGACTGCCATTCATAATGTGTTAGGGCACCACATTACTGATTACACTATCATGAGACAGTCTTTGTGCAGGACCCAAGGTCTCATTGCAAGAGGTACCCAGCTTTATACTAAGGACCTTTCTATCTCCCAATTAGTGTCCTTGTGCTCTCTGAAGAATGTACACAAAATCTGACACCACAATTCTTCTTTTAAAAGGTAACTTATTCTTAAAATGTTCACATCCTTGGACCTAGGCATTCCACTTCTGGGACTCTACCCTAAGAAAAAAGTCTTAAATGAGGAAATCAATTATTTATTTACAATGGGGAGAGTGAAACCTAAAAGTTCAACAATAGAGGAAAGGTCAAGAAAATTAGAGACATTGTAATGCTTACCAAACATTTATACCGACATTAAAACAAATATTTTAACAATTTTATATTTACAAACATTAAGTTAAAAAACAAAAGTCAAATAGTGTGTGCATGTGACCTCAAATACATAAATAATATAGATAGAAAAAAAGACTGTAAGAAAATGTTCTAAAATATTAACCATGATTGCTTCTGAATGGAAGGATTATGGCTTTTGAAAATCATGGTAAATTTATAGTATTCCTCAAATGCTCTATAATTAACATGCTTGTTTTTACAAAAACATTATATAAATCTTTTAAACAATGCATATGTTCTGATAAATTGCTAGAAATTTTCAGCCTCTGCCTGATTTTATTAATTCCAGATAAAGATAATGAATGAAGTGAACTAGAGTTTCCATAAGGGGAAGCAAGAAAAGAAAGCGAATATATTACAGTTTAGTTCCAGGATGTGAGTCCTGATGGAGAAATATCCCAGTTGTAGAACTGTATTGAAAATCCATTAATATTGTCACACGCCTCTAAACAGTACACCAGAAACTTACAGAGGGCTCTGCTGGCAGCAGGGAGTGACAGAGTCTCATAACCACATGGGTCCCCATCTTCAGAGTTCACAGAAGAGCCAGATGAGAGCCACCTTGAAACAGAAAGAGGATGAAACGTGTAACGATACAGGACAGGAAAAAAAAATTCCAAAAGCTAAACCAATTTAAGTGAGGTCAGGCCCCTGCCTCAAACTTACCGACTTAAGTCATCTAAAAGTATCAGAAATAGGAAGCTGGTTAGCAGGAGCTCCAGTCAAAAATTTTATAATCGCAACGGGCATTTTTTAAAACTAGTCACTTAGGTTTAAATAGTAATAAAGAGTAGTGCTTCCCTATCATTAGTGAAACAAGAATGCATTTTCTCTCCTCCCTACATTTATCAGCCTGAGACCATACAAAAGATTCTGAAGACAATCAGGAAAAATACTGGGAACTCTGCTTCTGACACACACTTCCCTTCATCCTCAGAAATTAAGTATTAAACTAGAAAGGCAGCATTTATATTCTAAGGCAGAAATTTTTATATAGCACTTTAAGTTTACAAAGTATTATCACCTACATCATCTTATTTGAGCGTCACAGTGAATAACTCTTAGAAATAGAGTTCATTTATTACTTCTAGGTAATAGGAAAGAGGCTCTTCCAATTAGTGGTGGAGGCAGTTTTCTCGCCATATTTTCTGAATCCACTTGCACTAAGGTCTATGCCATAGAACAGAACAGGAAAATAGTGATGATGATGCTAATGGCAGCCAACATTTAACTACATACTATATACCATTCCGAGTGCTTAAAATTCTCACATTCTATGAAGTTGACATTATTATTACCAACCTCGTTTGTGCTGTGATTCAACTTTCAGTACTCTATCCATCTTAAGGAATCATCCCTCTCAGGAACAAACCGAGGACAAGGTATGTTTGGGAAGAGTGGTGTCCACGTTGAGAAAGGGGAGTGCATTACCACTTGCCTCCAAGTTCTGAAAGTCTGAATTATAAATGGCACACTAAGAACGTGTAAGGCTCAAAGCGGGTTCCAAACTTCTACTTCCTTCCTCTCACCCTTCCTTCGACCCTCCCTGTGTCCCCAGTCCTGATCCGGACGCTCAAATGGCAGTAATACTTCCCAGTAACCCGCCGCCTTTCAGCACTTACCTCTTAAATCATCGGTTGGTCTGGCTCCGCATCTCTGTCCCCAGCCCTTCTAAGCAGGGCCTCCTCCCGCGGCAGCTTCTCCACTGCGTTCCCGCTGCCATGGTGACACGAAGGCCGGCCAAGACTGGACCCGCCTCCAGAGCGCCCAGCCAGCCGCAGACGACCCCGCCCCTTGCCCATCGGGACCCGCCTCCTAATGGCTCAGATCACCACCCTGGTGGGCCTTGACCCCGCCCCCTGTCTATCCAGACCCGCCTCTGGCCCGTCTGGACCCGGACTCGTGACTTCCAGGACCAGATTCCCTGCCTGCACAGAGGCGCCTCCTACCGGCAGGGCCCTGCTCCGGGCGCTCCGGCTGCGACAGATGGTAACTCCCCCTAGGGTCGGCCCAAACCACACCCTCGCTCCGCCCCAGCCGAGGCCTGCGGAGTGGGGCACAAAGGCTGGCCTCTCTTCCCCTTGCCGGACTCCCAAACTGCCCTTAGGCAGGGCGAGATCCGCTGCACCTCCCACACGTAGAGCCCGCAAATCCCCGCCCCAGAAAACGCACCAGGCACGTTCTGTATGCAATTTATTGTTCCTAGTGGCTCAGCACCTTCGAGAGCCAACAGCCTGGCCACGTAGTGCTGTCAGTGTCAGTGACTTGAAGACCTTGTAACAGATGGTCAGAAAATTCTCCGTCTGTGCCTTACCCCCTGCCCTTACTTGTTTAGGTCGGAAGTGGCCCAAACCAGGCCTGGGGGCTGCATACAAAAGCCCAGAATCTTTTTCAGAGCACCTCTTCTTCTGCTTTGGAGTTTCAGGTATGTAAAAGAGAGACCGTTAAATTAAGTTCCGCAAGATCAGTTCAAGTTCTGAAGAGTTAACCTGTTTTTTCGGCACTTTTCTTGAGAGCAGGAGCAAAGGTAGGGCTCAAAACTTACTTTCCTGCACACTCAATCTTGCCCTCTCCTTTTGTACTCCATTCACCCCTGGCTAACCCAAATACAACTCCAAGCAAACTGTGGCAAATAAGAGATAGGCATTGGGGAGAAAGCAAGATTGGGGACACACAACTCCAGGGGCTCCTGAATTCTTTAAGCTTAAAATGTGGCCACCATTCCTGGGCTGCCACTCAGTCCCCAAAGCAGTAGATTCTCCCACGAAAGTAGTGAAATGATGGAAATTGGTCCTTCTCCAAGGTTCACACTAGGGTCCCATTCTTGCTGTCATAGCAGGGTGTGGCCTGGGGGAAGGAGAGTGTGGCATACTCTGTCGCATTTTCTAACTGTAGGTGCTTCACGTCCTTGGCAGAGCGTGGCTGTGTATGGCTACACACTTGAATGACGGCGTAATGTAAGCTGCTGTCCTCTGACCGGAGGCCTTGGCTCCTCTCTTGAAACTCAGGCTGCTCCAATACTCGCTCACATGCATGTCCTGTCGTGTCATGGCCCTGCAAGGAATAGAGAGCACAAAGAGAGATTCTTGCTTGGTTTGTTCCCTCACCTTCAATGCTGGCTCAGTTAGACTAATGTCCCTTCACTTTGCTCCTTTCAGAGGAGCAAAGGAGGGCAGAGGAGGATGAGCAGAACAAGCAAGTTCTATAGATGACTGAGATGGGTCTGTCCCAGAGTGAAAAAGCCAAGTCCTGGCATCCCATGTCTGAGCAGCTCTTGGGAAGGGACAGAAGCTTGTCATTACCTTTGTGCCATTCTGCTTCTGCTGTTGCTGCTGCTTCAATGTCCTTCTTTGTTGACTCCCTGAGAGGAGGAAATCCAACTTCAATCCATTCTCTCTTCCCTATCTCTACTGAGGCAGCCCTCTGCAAAACTCTGTTATGGTGGGATTCTGAGTAATCTCCCCACTTCTGTTCTCATCTCTCATTTCTGTTGTTCCCATATCCAAACTCCTTAGCAGGGAATGCAACCTGGCCCTGCCCGTAATATCTTCCATCTCCATTTTTTACCAGTCACTAACAAGTTCAACAAATACATGTTGAGAACCCATTTAGACTCCAGGCTCTGTGCCACATTGTGGAAATAGAAGAATGAGTAGGTCGTTTCTTCTACCTCGGGCAGTTTACAATCTACTAGGGGAGACAAGTAAGTATACAGACTATTACAGTGCAGTGTGGTAAGTGCTCAGCTACCAAACAATTGGTCACTTTCAATCAAGTCATCCTCTTCTCTCCTTTTTTTTTTCCTGCATGAGATAAATCCCTTGCCTAAAATAGTCTCTCTTCCCCTGCTCCTGTTCTAACTTGTGAACTTGCTATTATTCCTTTAACATTGCTGTTTCCTACCATTCTCCCACGGCATAAGTATGCATCTATTAGAGCACTAGTAGATGGTATTACAATTACTTTTTACATATCTATCTCTCAAAGTTGATTTTCTGCTCTTTTAGGGCCAAGACAGTGTGTCCTTCCTCTTGTGCCTCTCTGCCTCCTTGGGATTCTTCAGTGCCTTACATGCAATTTAAGTGCTCAGTAAATTTTTGCTGGATGGATGAAAGAATGAGCAACCACTCTGAAACAATAGAAAGGATGAGACCCAAAGTTTCAGAGCTGGTCTTGAATCCAGGAACCTAAAGATTCTCTGTGGTGCACTGTCTTCCTTTATCGCTTCTAACACTACTCTTTCCCGCCCTTATGCTCTTTCCAAAGACAGTGCTTCTCTTCTCTATTTTGCTTCCCGCCCCCACCCCATCCAGTCCCTGTCCTTTCCCCAGTTACCCATTTTCTTTTTCCTCTGGAAAATTGATGGGCAGCTCCTGTGAAAGGAAAAACAGATCACCCGCATGAAAGAGCCCTGGCCTCTTTCTCTCCTTCACCATGTGCTCTGTGGTCTCCCTAACATGCTGGGATTATCTTCCCTCACCTCCCTCTAACATAGAACCACCCTAAGCCAGCCCCAAAACATTTATCAAGAGTACCACACTTTTCCCAAAGGGATAGTTCTGGAAAGGGATGGTTCTGGAAGGCGGAGTGGTACGACTGACATAACCAAACCCGAAATACAGACTCAGGCAAGCAGGCATTCCATGCCAGGGATGTAGCTGGGTTGAGCGCTATTCTGGGATTGTCTAACAGGCTAATTCCAGCAGAGGGTAAGGGAGACCTGCCAAATAATGGGATATTCCTGGACTCAAAGACCCTCTTGCTCCTGCCTCACTGCCTTTTATGGGGTCTCTGCCAATCTAGGATTCTCATTCCAGGAGTCCCAGAAGCTGCCACAACCAGGGCTCACTAGTTAGGTCTAAGTCCTCAAAGCCCTTTCCTAACAGATGACCTCCCTCCCTGCTTCCCCGTCCTTGTTTTTAATTAATAGAGAGAGTGAGAGATGTTTAACCTTTAAGGCCCACAGCACAGCGAGCTCTGAATTTGGTGAATGACTCAGCTACCCTGCCTTCGCTGGAGGACACACCTCTTATACTCATTTCTGAGCCTCTGGGGTCCCCAGTGGAGCCAGTGTGTCTATGTGATTGTCAACTGTTTGATGACCAGAGAAACAACACTTGTCTGAGGAAACAGGTTGAATAGTTTGGAGCCTACTCGATGCTTTTTCTTGCTAGTGTATTTCCAACTCTCACCAGAACTGACCTTATTGGTCTGACTTCTGTCTCCCCAGAAGAACAAGGAAGTTTCCCTCTTTTGTTACTTAAAAACTTCTGAATCATGTCCATTTTACTACTGTGGCAAAATCAGGATTTTCTCTCACAAATCTGCCAGAGGTTTGTGTTTTGGTTTGATTTTGGATTTTGATGCAGCTTGCTGAGTTGAGAGCAGTTAGAGTCACCATCTGAACTCTACAAGTGATCCAAAAAAAAAGCTTTGAAACTATTTTTGGGTCTTTCTGCTTCCTCTTCTGCCACTTCAGTTTTTCCTTTCTCTTACCATTGCCTAGGCAGAGCCTTATTCTAGCCTTATCCACGCCCACTGTCATTATTGTCTTCCTGCTTATCTTTACTTAAATGGACAAAGAAAATATTAATTCTAAAATCACATAGACTTGGGTAACCAAATTTTAGTAAATGGAGCCTCCACCCAAGTTGCATATTGCACAATGCTTGGATGCAACCCAAATGGAATATTCAGTTACTTAGAGGTGATACAACTTTCTTTTTAGAATTAAGGAAACTAAATGGGCACTCTCCCATATTGGTAGTAGGAGTAAAAATTGGTTCAATCTTTCTAGAATGCAATTGGCACTAAGGATAATATTAGTCTTAAACATATATGTGTACCCTTTGATGTAGCAATTCCATATCCTAAGAAAGAATCAGGCAGGTACAAATATGGATATTCATTGTAGCATTATTTACAATTGCCCCAAACAGGAAATAAATATCCTAAATGCCCAACATTGGAAACTGACTGAAAAAAAATGGTATCTCTGATCAATGGGACATTACACATCCATTCAAGAAGGATGTTAGAAGAACACCTACTAGCATAGGAAATTTTACTCTTTATTAAGTTAATAAAATAATAGCAAGATGTGTTTTGGGATAAAAACTGTGTACAGATGATGAGAAATAGAGGGTAATAATATTTGCCCAGTCCTACTAATGTTTTAAGAGGAAAAAATATACCAGAAGGGGCAAAAGTTGGCTCACAGTTGTTTATATGGAAAATAATACAATAATTAATAAATAATAATACAAAAATAAACTGCTTCATGTACTCACAACTGTAAACCTACTATTGCCTTACCCTGTATTTTGGTTGGAATATCTGGCGTAGTGTTCCTAGCTAGGATCTAAAGTCAGACTGATGCTATCAGACTATCTGTATGGCTTTCTGCAAGTTTCTAACCCCATTAGGTTAAAAAAAAAAAATGACAATTTTTTTAATCAGTGAAATGAGGACGATAATAGAATCTAAACCTCATGGGATTATTGTAAGAATTAAATAAAATAATAAATATAAACTACTCAACTAGCTGCCTGGCATATAATGAGTTTCAGTCAAAGCTGATTACTGTGACTACCACCATGAGAGGGAAAAATAACCGAAAATGAAGAACATGAAGACTCTGGAAGAAAGGAAGTGAAAAATCTGTTACACTCCCTTCTTTAGAATCTTTTATGTGTTTCTAGATTTCCTATGTCTGTAGGACATCTCAGAATTTAAAAAGTGGGTTTTTTTTTTCAATTTTGACCTAGCAGGAAACACGTATTAATGTTCCCATTTTGCAGATAGATCAACTAAGGCCCTAAAACTTTGTCACTCTAGAAGGCAGAGACCAAATTTCCTATTATTACTATGTATTCTGCATCTGTCACTATGCCTGGTACATATAGGTGTTGAATAAAATATTTGTTTAATAAATGAATGAATAATAGGAATAGTACTTCAGTTTATTGACTCCAAATCATATGCCCTTTTCAATGTATCTCACCTATCTTTCTAAATATAATGATACTTTATTCATAAACAAGATATTCTCAACACTGTCCCAGGCTCAGAATGGTATAGCTAAGGAGACACTGGTTATATGAAACTAGGCCCAGGAGTTTATAGTGATGACTATTCTGGGAAAGAACAATAAAGACATTACAGTTAATTTACAGTGAGGCTTTTTCATGTCCTCTGCTCTTCAAACCTATAATCTAAACAACACAGGTCATGTTATCTACATTATATATATGAGAAAAAAAAGTAACAGGATTTGCCTAAATTTCCACAGCAAATAAGTGTCAAAGTTGTATTCAAATATTCCAGGGGTTGTCTCCTTCACCCGACTTCTGCCCTTTTGAATAAACATTTCTCCAACATTGATTTGCTTGATTTGGAAGGCAGTATTATGCAGTGGTTAAAAGCATGGGCTCTGAAGTCAGACAGATCTAGGCTGGAATCTTGGTTTACTTGCTTACTAGCCACGTGACCTTAGACAACTGCTCTGAGCCTTAGCTTCTGGGCTGTAAAAACAGGAGAAAGAGTAAGGCCACCTCCCTCATAGAATTATGGGGAAGATTAAATGAGGTTGTAGAGTGGCTGGAATAGTAAGCCATCAAATATTACAATTATTATCATCATCAGAGGAAGAAGGGAAGCGACAGAATGGAAAGGAGAGGAACAGGCAAAGAGAAACAATGACAATTCACCATTCCAGCCCTGCTCTGGGTGTTCTACTGACAGCTGGCTTGGCTGTGTTTTTTAAAGTTACTTAAAAGGAGTGAGCATAGAAGGAGGTGCTCTTCTGGTGGTGGCACAGGGAGGTGCCAGGCAGAGGAAGGTGGCAGTGGGAAGTTGGCAAGGACTGTCTGTAGGCTCTATCTTATTCTCAGGGCCTCCACGTCCACCCACAAAGATGTTACCCTCTCCTCTTGCCCCCTACTCACCAGTTTTTCCCACCGCAGAGCCGGTTTCCCATGGCGCTCTGTCTCCGAGGGAGCCCAGCTGTTTTTCTACCTAAAGAGGCTTGAGCATTTCCTGGTTCCTGGTTTAGCTTTCAGTAGCAGCTCCCAGGGAGTCTCTGTCAGTGTCAGATTTCAACCTAGCAGGTTGGACTTTGGAAGCCACCTGCTGGAATGATTCCCAGGTGACTGCTCCCAGCCAAAGGGTAGAGAATACACACAGGCTCCAGGTGAGAATTATCTCACCTTGGGGATTTGGAGCTGCTTTGATGAAGCCATGGACTTTGAGCTTCAAGCTTCAGTGAAAAGAAACCTGAGATAGAAAAGGGCTCTGGGATTCCTGAGGAAATGTTCCTCCAGGACATCACACTGTCACGGAAATATATCCTCGATAATAAAGAGCCTTACCTTATGTTTCCCAGCACTACTCAGCTTTGAGTATCACTTTTAAAGTTACCGGTATCAGTTTCTTATTCTCCCTGTCCAGAATCTGGGTTTGAATACTGGAGTCTCTAGGAAACTTAAATTTAGGGAAGTGAATTCCTTTTATATTTTTTTCTCCCTCACTAGTGAAATTAACATGAGCAAATCACTTTTTTCTTAGGACTGTAAAATGGAGGACTGAACCTATTACCTACCCCCCTCTTTGGTAGAAAATCATATGACTGCATGATTGCAGTGGCCTCAACACTTCTTAAGCACTCACTTCCTCATTCCAGTACAGAACTGTAGAATTCCCATTTGCAGCTCAACTCAGCTTCCCTTTCCTATGACCCAAAATCACACACTTACCAGCAACTAAGATGCAGTTGAGCAAATACCTCTGTAGAAAATACGGGCTCCAGGAGAATTTGTGAAACCCATAAGCCTGGTCTCCAGTGCTCCTACCCTCATCTTTAATGTCTTGTTCAGATACCCAGGTACTTGTGTACTCCTTATGGGTATTCAGGACCCACCACTCAGCTGTGCACTCCACAAAGAGTACCCTGGACTATTCACTCATCCCCATCTTCTTTCTTTATGAAAAATGGGGACAATAAGAGCGAAGTCTTACAGGATTGTGGTGAAGATTAAATGATATAATGTATATAAAATTCTAGTCCAAGGGCCTGGCACATGGGGAGCTCTTGGTAAGCCTCAGCTATTGTTACTATTTCTTCTTGTTCTCAGCTAATTGTTAGATGGTAAAGCATCTTTCTTTATAACCTTGTGCTGGATCATTGCACTAGCCTTGTATTTCATGGCCATGCTTCCCCTGGGTAATGCACTCTGTACTCTACCATTAACTGTATTATTTTCATCCTGTCACCCACACATCTTGGCCTGGCACTCAAAACCTTGCATATTTGTTCTCCTTTCCCAGCCACTTTCTCTAAAGGAAAATACCTAAGAGATTTTATTTGGCAAGAAATTCTAAAGGAATCAACAGTGTGTAGTGGTAGCCAGATATACCTAAAGCAGCATTAACAGATGTCTAGAGGGATAAATAAGGGTATTGATTATTTCACTTAAGTCTGCACCAATCAGCCCATGCCTGGAATAATAATTTTAGGTCTACATGTTGATTTTCAAGTTATATTGTCAGAAGGCTGTGTGTTCAAGAGAAAGTTGTCTGGGCAATAAATGATATGGAAAGTCCTATAAGATACAATGTTAAAAGAACTAAGTATGTTTAGTTGGTAAAGGGAAGCCTTAGGAGAAGGGAAGCCTTAGGAGAACAGGATGATTCTTTAAATATCTTAAGGACTCAAGTGAAAGAATTGCATTTATTTTCTGGATATAACCAGAGCTAAAGGGCAGGTGTTACTGAAATGCAGATTTTGGTTCAATTAAAGGAAGAATCCTTGACTTCTGGTCCAGATAGAGGCACAGGCACATGTTTTGTCTCCTTGCGCAACCATAAGAAGAATAACAACTAACCTCAAAACAAAAAAACATTCAGAACCGTCAGAAAATCGAACTGTATGGAAGTTTGACAATCAAGGATTTAAAGAAGCCATATTCATCCAGACAGGTGGGAGAGGTGGAGACGGGGAGCCAGGGTGTAGAGGACACAGTGTGGCTGCAGCGAGGGGGCCGTGTCAGCTGGTGGAACAGGTTGTTCCACATTCAAATGTGGTGGATAAAAATCGAGAGAGATACCTGGGGAGCAAGCCATCCCAGCCCCAGGCCAGACCACACAGCCCAGGGTTCTAGCACCGGGAAAATAAAACCTCATAACTTTTGGCTGTAAAAACCAGTGGGGTCAGGGGCAATGGAAGAAACTGCCAGTCTCTCAGGAGAGTTCATTTAAAGGGCCCTCAGGGTCCTAGAACACACGCAAACCCACCCACTCTAGGAATCACCACCAGAACAACAGCTAGAGGGGTGCCAGTCGCTTACAGGAAGTGGGTGAAGTGACTGGAAATGGGGCAAGTGCCGAGTAAACCTCCAAAAGCCAGCCAGCAGCATTGTCCCTTCTCTGACCCCTCCCCCACATACACTGTGACAAATGGTGAAGCAGGTTGCCCTTCCCTGGTGATTACCTAAGGCTTCACCCCATGCAACGTAACAAATGCACCAAGACAAGCAGTCAAAACAGCTCTACCTAATACACAGAAACAAGCACAGGAGGCTGCCAAATTGAGACTAATTTGGTGAAGGAAATGGACATACAAGTCCAGAAAGCTCAGAGAGTACCAAACAAGTTGGACCCAAAGAGGACCACACCAAGACACATCATAATTAAAATGCCAAAGATTAAAGATAAAGAGAGAATATGAAGAGCAGGAGGAGAAAAGCAGAGAGTTACCTACAAAGGAGTTCCTATAAGACTATCAGCTGATTTCTCAAAAGAAACTTTGCAGGCAAGAAGAGATTGGCAAGAAGTACTCAAAGTGATGAAAAGCAAGGACCTACAACCAAGATTACTCTATCCAGCAAAGCTATCATTTAGAATGGAAGGGCAGATAAAATACTTCCCAGACAAGGTAAAGCTAAAGGAATTCATCATCACCAAGCCCTTATTAAATGAAACGTTAAAGGGACTTATTTAAGAAAAAGAAGATCAAAACTATGAACATTAATATGACAACAAACTCACAACTATCAACAACTGAATCTAAAAAACAAAGACAAAAACAAAAACAAAGTAAACAACCAGAACAGGAACAGAATCATAGATATGGAGATCATTTGGAGGGTTATCAGCTGGGAGGGGGAAGGAGGAGAATGGGGAAAAAGATACAGGGATTAGGAAGCATAACTGGTAGGTACAAAATAGACAGGGAGAGGTTAAGAATAGTATAAAGAATGGAGAAGCCAAAGAACTTAATGCAAAGCCCATGTAAATGAACTAAGTGGGTGATTGCTGGAGGGAATAGGGGTACCAGGCAGAGCGGGGCAAAGCGGGAAAAATTGGGGCAACTGTAATAGCATAATCAATACAATATACTTTAAAAAAATAAAGGAAGAATTCTTAACAGATATTTCCAAAAAGAAAATGAAGCCAGCTACTTTATGAAATTCTTAGTTCTCAGTCACTCAGAATGTCCCAGAAGAAGTTGACTAATTTTTAAAATTTGGATGGTGTGGGGATTTAGACTAAATCAGAGGTCTCAAATTTTTTTCTAGTTAAGGAACCCTTTCTTTTAAATGAAGCTCATGTAAGAATCCCAGTTACAAAACAGATCAATGTGAAGCTGTTTTGGTTTAAGTCAGAGTGAGATATTTTTTAAATTATTTTTCTTCTCAATTAGGTACTAAGATTTCTAAGAGTAGACAGTGAAAGACTGTAGTTTTCATAATTTATATATACAATGTGTATCCCTTGTAGTATATCTCTTGTGGGTTGATAAATATTTGTTGAATGAACAAATGAATATATCAATAGTTATTTCTTTGAAGCGTGCTTTGATTTTAAAATCTATTTTATTTTTTTAGTCCTCACTTGAGGATATGTTTATTGATTTGAGAGAGAGAAACATCAATGTGAGAGAAACATTGATCGGTTGCCTCCCACATGTGTCCCAACTGGGGATCGAACCCACAATCCAGGCATGTGCCCTGACCAGGAATCAAACCTGCAACCTTTTGGTGTTCAGGATGATGTTCCAGCTAACTGAGCCACTCAGCCAGGGAGCATACTTTCATTTTAGATTGATGGCAATCCTTTAACCACTGGATAAGTGAGTGTTCTTATCCTGGGGATCCAGAGATCCCTAAGAGGGGCGTATGAATGGACCTCAAGAGCTCTATTCAAATTTTATGCCAAATTTGGGAGCATCTGTATTTTTCTGGTAAGACTATCAATAGCTTTTGTCATATTTTCAAATGGGTCAGTAACCCAACAAAGTTAAGAATCAACCACATTAATGGAAGAATTTCAGATGTCCACCACAGTCTCGTAAAAGATATGTCTAGGGGCAGGGAGATCTCTGGACACTCCCCAAATCATATATATGCATGCTTCCTGATTATAGAGGGTAATTGAGGGGTCAGACCCCCAGGCTTTCCTGCACACACCATAGCTCTGGTAATAACATTCTACTTTCAAAGGATACTTCCCTGGCCATCACAACCATAACCAGTAGCCATAGGTCCCCCGCATTTAGTCTCAGATTATGCAGGGGTGATGCAGTGATTGTTCTCTATGGGATGTTCCAAGATATGAGGCAAATGCTTTCTTTCATGGGCCTCCCTGTGCATAGGGTAGGGAGACTGTGGGATTTGGTGACAATGGCAGAGATTTCTATGGCTGTGCCCCTGTGTATACATACTTGATCCCTTAGAATCAGAGAGCATTTTCAGTGGACAGACCTAACTATGGGAAAACAGGGCTTTAGGCAATTCTCTTCAGCCAAAATCTGTCCTCCAACCCCTACCCAAAACAGACCAGACAGTCTGGAGACCCTTGCTTTTTGTGTCTCTAATCACCAGCCCAGACAGTGCACTCTGGGTTGTTTGGATGGCATATCCCTTTCCCTCCCAGGATCACTCTCTCTTTTGTTGCACTGTGAGAAAATTGTGGCTAGGAATTTGATCTGGAGCCAGTGTCAGCTTCCGGTGTGATCTCCGCATCCCAGCGTGAGCTCAGGCTTCTATAATGCTGGGCACATCTAACTGAGGAGTTTTCCTCTAGCCATTATGACCTCCCTCCCTCCCTCCCTTCCCACCCCATCCTCCAAGCCACAGAATAGGAAGCAGCACAAAAAAAGGCCCTGAGATTTGGGTTTATTCAGCTCCACCCAGAACTAAACCAAAGGCTAGGACATGTCCCAAGGGACCAAACCACACATTGTGGCCCATGCACTTTTCCCTTCCCCCAAGGATGCTGCTACCTCTGGGGTGGTGGCAGCGGCCGAATCACCGCAGGAGGAAGGAAGTGCTGGGTACTGGGTCTGTGGCACTCAGGGGTCAACTCCAGCTGCCTCCTCCTCTTCCTCTGGATCAGGAGGTGCAGGGAGGAGGGAAATGTAGACCTCATTGACTTCCGTGTCCAAATGTCGGCCACCCCGAGGAGCCTCCAGGTTAAGGATGCCATCATGGGAGAGAGCAGCGCGGACCCTCCAGGGGTCAACATCGGCAGGCAGGACGTAGGTGCGGCAGAACTCTCGGGACACGAAGCCATGGCGGTCCAGGCGCTGGGGGTGCCGAGCAGACACCTCCAGCAGGTTGTCCACAGTCCTCACGGTCACCTCATCTGGGGTAAAGTGGCTTACATCCAGAAATGCCTGGAACTTGCCCTCGCTGAGCCTGAGCTCAGAGGCCCCCGCCCTGCTGCTCTCCCCAGCTCTAGTGGCCCGAGGTCGCACATAGTAGCCATGGTAGAGGGTGGGGGTCAGGATCTCTTCTGGCAGGAGGCCTGAGAGGCAGAGAGAGAGAAGGCAAGAGGCAGGATGAGGCAGAAAAGGGGGTGAAATGAGACATGAGGACTAGATTGAGCAGGATGGGGGTCAAGAGAAGTCGGGAATGGGTGGGAGGGTGCCACAACCACTAGAAGGGGGCAGCGGGGGAGACGGGATTGAGAAAGGAAATGAGATGGGGATGGAGGAGGCCAAACCAAAGCAGAGCTGGGTAGAGAGAAGGGGAACAAGAGGGCAGGCGGCAGGTGTCAGAGCGCTGCGTGCATCACGTCTGCACTGAGGTCAGTAGGAAGGAGAAAGAGCGCTGCTTGGAGGGGGTCAGGGGGAACTGGGGTAGGAGATGGCTCGGCCCAGGGGTTCAGTTAAGCCCGGAATGGGGTGGAGGCCAGCACCGTTGGGAGGTCAGCCCAGAATTTCAGGCGGTGGGGGTGGGAGGCAAAGGAGTGGCGTCTGTGCCATACCTTCTCCGAAGCGCTGCTCACCCAGGCGGCTCGGGTTGGCAAACTCGTACTCGGCGGTGGCCGGGTGGGCATGTGGCACCGAGCGGCCAGACATGGCTGCAGACGTGTAGGCGGCCCTTGTCCGAGCAGCAGCGCGACCCCTCCAGCTGCCTGGAGAGCCCGGGCTCGGATGGAGGTGGGGGCGGGGTCTACACCACCCAAAATAGTGCTGAGGCTGGGGGAGGGGCGGGCAGTGGGGGCCCTGAGTGCCAGCCACGAGTGTTTGGCTAGCGTCGCCTGGACCCCCGTCCCCTCCCCAGCACACCCTTCAGCTGTCACAGGGGACCGGCGAGGACAGCTGGGGGTCCTGGCTGGGGCGTGGGCTGGGAGGGGCGGCCGGTCAAAGGTCCCGGAGAGCCCTAGCTGAGACCCTCACAGTTTGTACATTTCCCACACCATTTTTTCTCCTCCTTAGTTGCAAGCACCCTGTTTGGTGATCCTTTTAAGGTGAAAGGTGTAAGAAACTTTCCTACCCTTTTTTGGTTTGTGGTGAGGGGTCTTCCTGTGCCCAGGTGAATGTTAGTGTCCTTACCAGAAAACCCAGGTGAACCTTTAGCACCACACAGATGCCTGCCACTGATATGTTGGTGATCACTGCTTTCCTCCGGGAACCCACAAAGAGTTAATGTCTCTGGGGCCCTGCCAAGGAAGATTCCAGTTCCTGCCCAGGCCCAAGATAGTTGCTGGCCCAATTCCCCTGGCTGGCTAGGCTGGAGAGGAGGAGGGACACACCATCCGCCTGCTTGGGATTCCTGACTGTGTCCCAACGGGTGGGGGGCAGGGTGCCTGCCATTGGGTGTAGACAGAAAGCTAGTGAAACAAGTCCGGCAAAAGCCACTGGCCAGCTCAGACGTGTTTGTGTTTCTCTTTTCTTAGCTCAGTGAGTACTGGGTATGTGTCACACTGCCAAATCCCTGATCACAAGTCCCCATGAACAGCGGTGAGCTGGGATAATAAAACCCCTGACATCATCATTCCAGAAGCTTCACAAGAGTGCATATAAAAGGGGCCAGCTGTAGCTGCTGCTGAAAGGAGCTGACCAGCCAGCTGACAGCAGACCCCAGACACTCACCAGCCACCATGGACATCGCCATCCACCACCCCTGGATCCGGCGCCCCTTCTTTCCTTTCCATTCCCCCAGCCGCCTCTTTGACCAGTTCTTTGGAGAGCACCTGCTGGAGTCTGATCTCTTCCCAACTTCTACATCCCTGAGCCCCTTCTACCTTCGGCTGCCGTCATTCCTGCGGGCACCCAGCTGGATTGACACTGGGCTCTCAGAGGTAAGTCTCCCCTCTACAGCACAGGAGAGTTTCCTGAACCTTCTGGAAACGTATCCAGCTGCTCTGCTTTTCCTCTCTAAATCTGGCTCCATCAACATGTCTTAAGTCTTTTAGGCATTTATGTATCCTGCAGTGAAGAAAAATGAGGTTAGTTCCTCTCTCTTCCAGTCACCTGTCTTTAATGCTCCTCTCTACCCTACTTACTACATTTTTCCCCGTGTTGTATGATGATCATCTTTTATCCCCTAACTTTGAAGTAGGATGCCTCTTTCTGGTTTGGTTCATAAGGATCTACAAGGAAAGAGCTGCCTTTGGATTCCTTTGCTTACCATTTCTAATACCCTGTACTCCTGAAAAATTTTATCATTTCAAGTTTCAGAGCCAGGAGACAGACCTACCTCATCCTGAGCTTTTCATCCCCACTGTGTGGAGCTGGAGACAGCAACCACTATTTTCTTCCTTCTTATTTCCTCTCCTATGATTTTCTGGGTTTCTTGGGGCTGTGATAGGGAACTAGCCTGGGTCCAAGCATAAGGAAGAAGGAATGTAGGTCCAGTTTTGGGACCCATCCCCTCACCACCTGCCCTAAAAGGGAGAAGGGGTTGAACATACAGGTTGATAGAAGCTGTTACAGATAACGCTCTAGTTTAAAAATATCCAAGTGTGAGTAAACAGGAGCTGAGTGGGGAAGGGCTTTGGAAGGACAATCAGGACCAGCAGAACATTCCAGATTGAGTGGGTGGGAAACTTGGCAGAGACTTGAGCAAGAAGAAGGGTCCTTTGTCTCACAGACAAATGACAAGGCCAGGCATTGGGGTCAGAAAGGCAGCAGAAGCCATGCCCAGACCCATCCTTGTAATTGGTCCCTTGGGTGGCTTGTCTTCTTCCCTGCCCCTGTAAATAAAGTTTGCACCTGATGACCAAGTGGTGTGCCTTGGGTACCACTGTGGTGGCACCCCTGAACCAGAGAGGCATTTTTATTCAAAAACGGATTTTTTTAACCAAAAGAAGGAGGGTAAGCTACCTCACAAGAAAGCAAGTCTGCAGAATGAAGACTCTGCACTAGTAATCCACAGTCACACCATTTTTTCTTCTACCTCTTTGTCCCACCTTGCCATTTCTAGATGCGTCTGGAGAAGGACAGATTCTCTGTCAACCTAGATGTGAAGCACTTCTCCCCAGAGGAACTCAAGGTCAAGGTGCTGGGAGACGTGATTGAGGTGCATGGCAAGCATGAAGAGCGGCAGGTATGTAGCTTATTTTTTCTTCTTTTCATTCATTCAGTTCACACTATGTGCCAGACACTGCCATCAGCCTCTGAGGCTGGCGACATTCCAGTCTTAAGCCACTGGAGTTTGGAAACAGGGATAGACCTGGTACCGGCCAGAGAAGTGATCATTGTTGTTGTTTTTTGTTTGTTTTGATTGCCTTAGATGGGATAGATGAGATATTCACTTCCCATTTAAGCCAGTGGTTCTCAAGCTTGGTCACATTAGAATCAGGAGGGGAATTTTAAAAAATTCCAATGCTGAGGCATTTCTCAGGCCAATTAAATCAGAATTTTTAGGGATGGGACACAAGCATCAGCATTTTTAAAAGCTCCCTAGGTAATTGTAAATGTACAGTCAAGGTTGAGAAGCACTGATTTAGGCATAGTGTTTGTTGGACATCTGGTTGCTTTACATAATAACATTAACTGCGTGTACCTTGAACGCCCTAGAGTTTTGGACTTTTCCATGTTCAGGAATCCCCTTCTCTTTAGCCCTTTATAACGTGGAACTACTTAGTTTGCCTAAGTTTGTACCCAGCTTCTAATATCCTTGAGCCCAGGTGGAAATCTGTTGAGAGCCTGTCTGGATGAATGCTTGAGATTCAGCAGGAATAAGGGTTAAGGTCAACTACTCTTTAGCAGAATTCTGAAGAATAGAATAGCCTTCTCATTTCTTTCTGGGAAAGTTTTTTAATAAGTTTGCTTCCTAACAATTTGTGATAACTGAGAAGCTTGTGCATCAAACAGTACAGTTTGAGGTTCTCAGACTGTTTCCATTTTGCGTATGTGATTTAAGTTTGGGGCACAGTCTCCCTGGATGGAGTTTTTTTGTTTTTTTTGTTTGTTTAATAGCAGTGGTCCTATTGGTCTGGAACATTCTGGGATGTTCCTGAGAAGTCAGGATAATTTCTGAGCTTCCTCAGGGACTTAGATCTACAATGCTGGATGATATTCCAAATTCTGTTGGCCCAACGAACATTGATCTAAACCTTTTCGAAATACCTATAAACATATCCATGCCTCAGAGTTTGGAGAGCTGTGAAGTTTTGCCTATTTCAGACTTCTCAGATTCTCATTCGTAGGAGTGACCACCTAAACAACTTCATCTTAGCCCCAAACAGAAAAGTTTTCTTTCATGTTGCCATGGCATTTGGTCACTCCTAAGGGGAAGGAAGATGTCTAAATTCTAAACAAGTGGTGCAATTTCCCTGTTCTTATCTCCCTACCTCTTTCCTCCTTCTCTTGGATTAGGATGAACATGGTTTCATTTCCCGGGAATTCCACAGAAAATACCGGATCCCAGCAGATGTGGACCCTCTTGCAATTACGTCATCCCTGTCATCTGATGGGGTCCTCAGTGTGAATGGACCAAGGAAACAGGCTTCTGGCCCTGAGCGCACCATTCCCATCACTCGTGAAGAGAGGCCTGCTGTCACTGCGGCCCCCAGGAAGTAGATGCCCTTTCTCTAACTGCATTTTTTAAAACAACGAAGTTTCCCCACCATTGAATAAAAATCTTGTGACTAATGCTGAAGCTTATTAATACTAAGGGCAGGCCCAAATTATTAAGCTAATAAAATGTCATTCAGTAGCAGATAACTGCCTTGTGCTATGGGGTTTTTTTTTAAGGTTTTTATGTATTTATTTTTAGAGAGAGAGGAAGGAAGGGAAAAAGCAGGCGAAAAACATCGATGTGAGAGAGAAAAATTGATCGCTTGCCTCTCATACACACCCTGACCAGGGACTGTACCAGCAGCCCAGACATGTGCCCTGGCTGGGATTGAAACACTCACCTTTTGCTTTGTGGGACAACACCCAACCGAGTCACACCTGTCACGGCTGTTGTTTGGTTTTTTTAAATTGGACAAATACAGCAGATCTTTAATCATCACATTATGATTTAGGGGGTTCCAGGGATATTAGATTCAAAAATGACTGTCTTCACCACTTACCAATGATATAAATTTTGCAAGTCATTTAAACTTTCTGGTCTTTAGGTCTTCCATTTATAACATGGGGTACTGATTTGTACACTTTTTGTAAGGAGTAAATTAAAGAAAAAAGGTAAAGCCCTTGTCAGAGTTCAAAGAATATCAGTTCCTCTGTCTCTTCCCTCTTTGATTTTGGCCCTCAGTTCCAACAACAAATCTGAATGAACTCTGGATAACAATACATAAAAGGCCTTAATATGTCTCTGAGTTTAATCCTGTAACTAGGGAAGAGAGATGGTGCCCCCAAAGTTATTCAACATTTTCCTACTGATAAGCATTGCCTTGAGCTGATTCACAAAAGCAGTAAATAAGACTTGAGTGATTAGCACCAAGCAAGCCTTTCAAGTATAGTCTCTAAATTATCTAGCAAATACCTATTTGCTAGATAAAAACTAAGGCTGGAAAATTTCCAATCCAATGGCCCACCATAAAAAAAGTTAACTTTTAGAATTATAATGAATAAATTATAAGTCAGTAAGTGAGTCTACTATTTAGCTTAAACCAAGACATTTTCTTCTACAAAAACATCTTCATTTCACTTTTGTGAGCCTAGACAAAACTTGTGATTCAATTAATGAAAAATAGCCCTGTGTAGGTTATCTGGCATAAATAATTTTTGCTTTTTTTCCCTCTTCCTCTGGGCTCATTGTTTCCTAATCCTCAGTAGTTTCGCTCTTGCCTCCATGTCATTTTCTGCATCCCTTCCTAATTCTAAACCAGGTTTTATAATGATGAGTGGTGCTGCCATCCTGCTATCATATCAGGTACTGTCATGGAACCACAGTATCGCTTACATAAAGTTGTAATCAGGACGTTGTCTGGGTTTTCCCACCTTTCTAAGCCCCAGAGTTTATATTCAACTAAGCCTCCTAGAAGTTAGATGGACAGGGGTTTTCCAGATTTCTTTCACAAATGGGGAAATCTAATCACAACCTCTTGGCTTTAAGCAATGCTCTGTTTTTTTCTTCCTATCTTGGAAATGAGCACTTTTAGTCTCTTCAGCCTGTAGAAGTGAAAATCTTTGCTGCCATTGTCTGCCATTGCCATTCTAGACCTAGAGGCCAATATGTCCATTCTCCTGAATTTTATTTTTATTTATTTAAATATGTTGTCATTTATTTCCTCCATATTATTATTTATCTTTCTTGCTTTAACAAACTCTACCACGGTATGTGTTAGGAATTAAGGGATTGCATCAAACATGAACTTACTGTTTTATCTTGTCAAAAAGTCTGTCCCCTATTTATTTTTTGATCTGTTGGGGGCCGCTTTGAGTGGTATTGGGGACTGTAGTCCTGCACAAGCAGGGGCCTGGGAGAGGCTCTGTAAGTACTTGGTGGGAAAACTGGTAGTGCAGTTGATAGGCAGGACCTGATAATAGCTCCGAGGGCCCCTGGGGGAACTCAGGCCTAGAAGTAAATTACGCTCCTTGAAGCACGCTTTGTTTGTCCCTCAAGCTGTGTTATTCTCACACTGGATAACCGGCTCACACTGGGAAGGAAATTTACATTATTCATGGACCCTGACCCTAAACCATTTGGTGTCATTATGTTTACACTCATCTCCGAACCAAGCAATTTGGTGTGTTTCCTGCCATTTGACTTCTTTAAAACATTGCTTATTCTCTGTAAACATTAACATACTGATGTAATGAGATTACCTACACATTCCTGCTACCTATCCCCTGCTGGTAACCCATTCAATAAAAGCCATTGAGCACAGGGGCTCAGGGCATTCCCCACTAGAGGGAATTTGCCTCCCCTTTCCTTGGCAGACAAATGGTGTCTGGAATGATTCTTCCATCTGTGGCAAATCTGGAGACATCACGGGCTGAAGTCCTCCATACCCTACCACTCTCCTGAAATTATTTATGAAAGTGACAGTTTTGCTAAATCGAGTGGACACTTCTGATAATCTCTTTGAGCACCTACCTTTTCCTTCTTTAAATCTCATTCTCTTGGTTTCTGTGACTTTGTGCTAGACAGGTTTTTCTCCCACCTTTCTGACCACTTCCTTCTCTCTTTTATGTGCTCATTTTTCTTTGCCAATCATTCAAGTTTGCCTTTCCAATGATTCTGTTGGCCTTTGTACACCCTTCTTTTTCATAAACCTAGATTATCAACTCCTGTGTCTTCGACTCTCATCTATGAGCTCCCATATTCTAAATTTATACTCCCATGCTAGCTGTGTCTCTAGAGAATTGAAATTACATGTCCAACTACTTTATCAAATACCTTTGTTTCAATTCCCACAGGTCCACAAATTCAACATACCTACAACTGTATTCATAATCTTCAGTCTCAATTTTTTTCCTCCTAATGTATTCCATATCTTGGTGAATTCTATAGTTCTCTTTTATGTATTTTAAACACTCATTCTCATTTTTAATATTATATATTAGATAAGTGCACAAAGTTGTCAATATCAGACATCAAGGAATTATTTAAACTATTTTGAAAACCAAAACAGGCAACAATAAAATCAACAAAAAGAGAACTGAAGGAATAACTTCATTTGAAAAGGGCAATAAATATTAAATAAAAAGAAGCAGAAATTCACAAATGTATATATGAAAAGGAATGATTTAAATATATTAGAAATGAGTTGATAATTTACAAATAACTGTTAGTGCCAATAATAAGGAATGATATTTGGGGCTTAAAATACTGTCAGTTTTAATCAAGAGATAGTATTTTGAGATATACCCTTTCTAGCCAGCAGATGGAGAAGGAACAAAGTGCAGTTTATCTGTGTATTTCTCTGCAGAGAAAAAAAGTTTTTTGCTGAATAGTATGATAATCAGTTTTAGTAATTTTAAGGACATTGTCAGTGTTTCTATCATTAAAAGAAATAAATACAGAAGGTAGATTTGCCACCTGAGATTTATCACAACTTTAAAATAAAATAAAAATTTTAATGTGAGGAAAATATAGAAAAATAAGTATACTGAATTTTGAAACGTGGTTATCTTGATTTATTACTCTTTTTTGTGATAAATCTCTAATTTTATTATTCATTTTTTGATTAATCAATTGAATCCAAATTTTGTCATTTCTTTTATTCTCTTGGTTTGTAATGTGGCCTTTGTGATATAGATTCATTACATATAATTTTCCTGTCCAAGTTCTTTGTCACTGGTCAACATATGGGATACAGGTATTTGGTATTCACAAATAATCATAGAATCAAGGTAATATTTAAACATCAGAAAAATATGTAAATATTATTCCTTATTTAACATCTCATTACTGTTTACAATCTAAAATTATTCATATTACTGCTTAGAATTATTCACTTTAAAAATTATACAAATAATACATAAATACATTCTTGTAGTAAAAATTTCAAACAATATAAAATAGCATGAAAAAGTCTCCATTTCTTCTAGCCTAGTCCTTTCTTAAAAGATGTATACATGTATATGATTATATATATTATAGGTAGACATATACACACCCCGTCACACAGGATTATTTGTTTGCATTAATGTGATGAAATTATGTTCTGTTTTCTTTACTTAACAATATGTGTTGGAGACTTTTTCAAGTTAATGCATATAGATCTTCCTCATTCTTTTTATAGGTGCACAGTATTCCTAAGCATGGATATGTCATAATTTAGTAATACTTTATTACTGGACTTTCAGATTGTTTCTATATTTTGCTGTTACACTTACAAAATAAATATCCTTATACATCTATTTGTGTATATGTGCAACTATTTTTGTTAGATGGATTTTTAGGAGTAGAATCGCTATGACATATATATTTTGCATTGTCTTGTTCTGAAGGGGATACCAGACACTGCTAAGGGTGATTGTCTGTGGGGAGAGAACCGGGTGACTAAGGGAGTTGGGTTAAAGGAATGAAAAGAGAGCATATTGCAGGATACCCTAATACATCATGTAATTTTGTTTTTACTATGTGCATGTAGTTAAGATATGTAATTACATAAAAATAAAGTATATACATTCAAATTTTGACACAGCCACACTGTCCTCAAAAATGTTGATTTACATTTATAAACATTCTATGAGAGTGCTTAACTTGTAGATAATATAAAAGTGAAAAGTTAAACAAATGGAACATTACAACTACTGTGGATCTCTTAATATTCTTCACAATAATTAAGTTGTGTGTTTTATTCTTGTTATCATGCTTAGTGATGTAAGGTATAAAGGAGTGTACATGTGTGAGAGAGCACAAGATAGCATTAGTGTTAATTCATACAGATTACATATTTTCCCAAATACATCCTCAATTTTGTAGGTAAAAATTTAAAACTGGGTTTTAAAAAATCCATTTTAATTGTGTCAACATGTCTGAATCAGTTTTATTGGTACTTTGACTTAAATAATTTCATGCAGGCTTCCTGCACACTTGGAAGTATGTACCTGCTTCCAACTTCTCATGAAATGAATGCTAAAGGTTGTTAGATGCTGACAAATCAGTATCCTTTTCATGTGTATTGAACAAGGTTTACTATCTATCTCATCCCCCTACAATGTAAGTTCCCTTAAGATGAATTATTTTCTTGCTTATTGCTATACCCACCCCCTGCCATTTCTAGCAAAGAATAGGCGATCAATAGTTACTGGCTGGCTGAATC